TGTATTCCCGCTGCTCGACATGACACATGTGCCATCCAGTTTCAAAACGAGTGTCACAGAGCACCACAGATTACGTTTCCATCGATTTCCTCCTGATTCTCTCTTTCTTTTGCTGATTACTTCCAGACAGGGCACTGCGTTTTGCTCGTTTCGGAGCGCGCCATCAACAATTTACACGCCATTAGTTTTTGTTTTGATCATATTTGTTGGGGGAAACGTCTTCCCCTCCTGCACCGGGGTTATTTACCCCATTTAGAGTCAATGTGTTGCATTGCGTTGTGTGATTAATTGTCGTGGTGGCTTTTGTGCGCAACTTTAAACCAAACTAAATGAGACAGGAGGAAAATGTGTCGTGTGGATGTGATGAGCACGGGAGTTTTTTGCTCTGAACTCTGCGCTCGCTTGTTCATTTCTCACAGAAGTGACAGTTTAGATGTTGATACTTGTTTCGTAGTTTTTATTTAATCTGTGGTCGTGGTTGAGCAATAAAAACGTTACAAAAAATGTGCATGTAAATCCAAAAAAATCACATCTTTTGTACATTGTTGTGATTGGAGTAGCGTATCTATAAAAGATTGGTAATATAGTGATAGGAAATGTAGCCGGTAGCCAAAAACACAACCAGGAAATGACAGGAAAATGATTAAATATGTGAGAAAATACTGTAAAAACATGCACTCATTCATAAATCCTGGGGTTTGTGGTCGAAATGGCTTTTTTAGTTGGTGTTATTCACTTTGTTTTAAGTGATTTTAAGGTTTTGGTATTGACCTTTGGAATAAAAATGCCCGTTTTTCTGCATCTGCCTTTGTAGACTAATAACAGGAGCTGAAAATCAAACATGAGTTGATGTGAAATAAGTTCTGTTCACACTCGAATACACCCAGGGATGCTTTGGATATCTAAAAAAATAATAATGATACATGGCCACATCACATAGTATTTCTTTCTACCTGAGAACCACTCATGTTGAGGAGCCACTGCTCAGTGAAGTACATCGAGGATTAATCACAAAGAGATAAAAATCTACTAATCTACTGCTCAGTGTGCCGTTTGGTTGGTGTCAAAAGAAAATGAGATCACACAACGCGAGCGTCTCCATGATGGCTTGTTTTTCTAAAGGTTTGAAACCTCGACATTTAGATGGGAACCACAGAACATCTGTCAAGGGTTTGCAAGCCAGCGAGATCCAAAAAGGAGATTGTGGTGTGAAAAGAGAAATGATTTAATGATTCTCCAGTGGGCATTCAGTCAAAAAGGTTCAAGGGAAATTTGTAATTCATTACAGAGCCGCTTTATCTGTGGACAATGGGGACAAAAGCAGTGGCAGAAGAGCCCGGATAGCTTTTTGGTTTAGTAGTTTAAGCTAATGATTGGTGGGAAAATGTCTTTGAAAGAACTAACAGCTGGTTTACATGAATCCCAAAAATGACTACCCATGAGAACTGCAGGATATTTGGTTATTGGGGCTCCTTCTGGAGTAGTTTGGAGTAGTTTTCCAGTTTAGAATATGGTGGCAAAGCGGGTTTATCTGTTTAGCACATTTCAAACGGAGATTAAAAGGCTTTACAAAGGCATTAATATAGATTAATAAATGTATTAATATAAATTCAAACAAAATTTTATATGTGTAAATACACAGAAAGGGATTAAAACAGTCAAATTGGACTAAAAAAGGAAAAATTCTGGTTATGATTAAACATAAAAAGGCATTTTAACCTATTTTTGGTCCTAATTTGAGATTCTGCTAGCTAAAGGCTACTTAAACATCTCAGTAATCTGTTTGGTTTACAGTCTACATGAAGACCAGTAATGTATTCAATTAAAACA